CTTAAAGAGCGTGTGCTCCAAAATTGTCTCGACACCACCCAGCGCTTGGATGACGTCGGTACGGTAGGCGTTGAGGTTCCACAGTTTACCATCGTGACGCTGGCTGGTCCACCAGAACGGATTGCTCTTCATCAACTGGTACTGCTTGAACTCCGCACGGAGACGGAAGCCCTTGTCGAAACTGAGGGTGCTGCGGTCCTTCTGGAACAGGGTGTTGATACGGGGCAGACCGCGGTCCCAGCTGTCTTCCAAGTCCTCCAACGTCAAGCGGCGGTTCTGCTGCTGCGCCTCCTGACGTTTCTGGGAGTATTCCATCCACACCCGCTGGGAGTCGATGAACTCGGCCTCCCAAGGGATGATGTACCGGAAGATGTTGGGGATCAGCGTCTCCTCGTCGTGAGACATACCCGCGCGGAAGTGGGTGATGCCGGTGTCCGTCTGCTTGGACCAACGCTTGTCACTGGCGGGGATGAGGATGTGCGAGCCCGAGATCATACCCAGACCTCCCAGTTCCTTCGGGGTATAGAACACGGCGGGAGGGAAACGCGAAGGCATCTTGGAGTTCAATCCGATCTTGACACGAGTCTGAATCTTGGTTTCACACTTCACGATCGTGTCCAAAAGGTTGACAGTGGACACCGCAGCTTCACGGTAGTAGGTGAAGAGGGCGATCAAGGCGGTGTTCCACTTGTTGGCGATCTTGGTGAAGGTTGTGGATCCTGACGACATCAGAATCTGCCGAATGCGGTTGTTGAACTTCTGGATGTCCTCCTCCGTCACCTGCAGGAAAGCATGCGCAGTACGCTCCTTAGTCGAGTTGTCGACCAGGGACCACACGCTATCCTTCACCGAAAACTCCTCGTTCTGGTTGCGGCACTTCGGGAGGATGCGAACCTCGAACCCGCTCATGGAGAACAAGAGGTTAGGGTTGTCCTTGCTGTATACACTGGCGAAAGTATCATCCCATTCGATGGTGGTGATCGACCGGGGCAGGCGGTTCTTCAGATCCCAGAAGACGGCACGACCCAGGTTGACATCGTGTCGCATCAAACGCATCCGGCAGTCGCGTGGCCAGCACTTCTTGTTCTTGTAACCGATGACGTTCTCGAAGTTGGGATCTGGGTTCTCAGTCAAGAAACGTTGAATCAGATCTCTAGACTCGTCCGCAGAGAATCTAAGGAAGACCCAAATCTTGTCCACATAGCGAGTATAAAGACGGATGGGGTGTCTGGTTTCAGTTGCACGGTCTCTGAATTGCAGGAAGTCGTTAGGGCTCTGAGGGGGGCCAGCCATTTCACTACCTCTCTGCAGGCCAAGGAGCAGCAAATCAATCATCAAACCATAGTACTGGAACACGAAGCCAGAGAACTGTAGACCCCGAATAAGACCGTAGCTGTTGGTGTGGTTCATGTCCTTGTAACTAAGCTGGACGTTGTTCTTGGAGGTAATGTAGTCGGCCAAGTTGTGGTCCATGATCAAACGCAGCATTCTGTTCAACAGAGTAAGATCCATCTTCTCATAGACCTTAGAAAGCTCAGTCTCGATCATGACGTTCGTCTCACCGTCCTCGGTCTCCCAAACATTGGACAAGTTGTTGATTCCTTGCGCCCACTTGTATGTAAGCAGCGGAGGAACTTCCGAGTCCGAAGGCTTGATCCAAGCAGGGAAGAGATGGCGCTGCTCCGCTTGATACCATAGATACTGGTCAAGGTAGGCGTCGGTGATCTTCTCAATAGGTTCAACATCATACACGGGGTTGATGTGGCTGTAGTTGTCGTTCATATCAATCCCAACTTCCTTGAACGCTCTCTGGGTCAGGAGGAAGCGCTTGATACGGGCCAAGGTCGTTCCGGGAGAGTCGTAAGCCTGCTCAATGAGAGCGAGTTCCTCACGCTGACTCTGGTTAAGTCGGCCCTTGACAGAGTAGGCCTCACGCAGACGCTCAAGAGCAAGAATCAAGATCTTGGTGTCGTGCTTGTAAGAGACACTAGGGAACGGGATCGGCGAAAACTTGCGGGACTCGAGCCAGTGCACCATGGTCGTGTAAATGGCCACAGCCTCTTCGGATGACACGTAAGGACCATCCTTGAGGTAATTGTGCTGTCGCTCCTGCTCTGCCTTGAGCCACAAACGTGTAAGTCGTCCAAGGTTCTTCTTTGCGACCGTCTTGTCGACCGTAGCACCCCGACGGATACGTTCACGGTTATAATGAGCGACAGAAATCCACCAATCAGCCTTGCTCTTGACGTACCGGAGAATGATATTCTCGATAGGAGCTGGGAGACCGGGGACCTTCCAAGGGATGTTACTCTTCCAGCATCGCCATGCTTCCGAGAGATGCTGCAGGACCGTGTTGACCTTGTTTTGCTTAATGCCTTCCGGCATCATGTCCATAAGGTCAGCCATGACGGAAGCACGAAGCTCAAGGTCGAAGTGAGATTCCACACGCTGCTTGGTGACTGTCTTGGCAACACCCTTACTGTGGCGACCCTCGAATTGACGAGACAGCAAGTTTCCGAGCCATCTCTCAAGCAAAGGAATGATACCACGCATGAAGAAGAGCCAAACACGCCACGCCGGAGCCCAGAAACCACATCCAGGACCCTTACCCACGGGTCCGGAGTTGAACCGATAATAGATAAGGTGTTTCAAGTCTTTGCAGGAACGGATCTGGTGCATCAGCTTGTACTTGTAACGGTACATACCAGTCAGCTGTCCGACGTGGTTGAAGGCGTAAAGGATACCATCAGCCAACTGGAAGGCATCGATGTTGCCCAGGCGGTATTGTACTTGTGCATCGACAATCAGTTTGGTGAGGCGGAGGATTTCTCTCATCAGGTGGAAAGCGTTTCCGAAACGTGACTTCTTTCGCTCCTTGGTCGTCAGGGTCTTGACAGGCTTGAGGTTGAAGTTATAGTCGAGGTGAAGATAGGTCAGGTTTTTGCGGTGAATCAAGAGGTTGAGCATGTTGAAACCCTGGCGACAAACCTGCAGACCAGCCTCAACCCAGTCGATGGTAGTCTGCTGGAAAAACTTCGTAGACTTCAAGGTTTTGAGCAGATTCTGCTTGTTTTGGGCCTTGGGCTTCTTCTTGTGCAGCTCATTGAGCACATAGGTTTTGAGAAGCTTCTGGTAAGACACGCGGACTTTGACGGGTTGGCCCTGTGGGCAGTGTTCCAGATACCACTGTTTCACCAAAGGAACGTCTTGTGCGCGCACCATCTTGCCAGAGCGCTTGTTGAAGGGGTGAGGAGCCCACCACAGGGCAATAGCGGAGGCCGTGTCTGGAGTGTATAGTTCTTCATCGCCGAAGAAAGGCTCGAAATCGCCAGGGAGTTCGAAGTCGTCCTCATCGCCATCTCCGAAAATCTCATCTTCGTGGCTGACGGTGATGTTCTTGGGGGCGACGGACCGGGATGAAATGGGGTTGATTACGGGGTCGAAGTAGAAAGCAGGGAGGTTGGGGTCTTCGGTCCGGACGTAGACGATCTGAGGATGAGAGTACCAAGAGAGCTTGACACTTCTTGGCAGGGTATTGTACAGGTAGGGGTATGCGACGCGGTATTCCGTTCGGATGGGCGCGCGGAAGATGATTCGGTCAATGGCGTTGAATTCGCTGAAGTCTTCATCGTTGGGATCGATATCTTTGTAAAGTGGTTCGAAGCGAGGGCCACCGGGGATAGCGACGTTCAGCGCCTTGGCGGTGAAGAAGCTGTTCAAGTCGAACATGTGGAAGTAATTCTGGTCGACGACGTCACTCAAGAGCTGATGACTGAGTCGGTAAAGGGTGGCCATCTGTGGAAGAGTTAAGTTCCAGCTCTTGTAGCTCGGTCCATTGACATGAGGCGTATCCAGCAGAGGCCGGTGGTCATAGAACCACTCATAGACAGCTGCATCTTCGGACTCATCCAGCTCCATCTGGATGGGTTCCAACGGTTCCACATCTTCGATGTTCTCCGACCACGACAAGGGGGGTTCCTCGTCATCGAATGGAGGGAAGCGCATTCTCTTGAAGTGTCTCCGGTCACTCTTCTCCCTCCGCATACACACCCACATGGTCGCCCATTGGGCGTGGAACACAGGCTCGATGACGCGGGGGGTCTCGTTCACCAGGGTCAAGCAGCCGTTGACGTGATACAGCACCTTGACCTCCCTAGCAGACTCCCAGGGCATGGGCATGTTCTCCAGCAGCTTCAGGACGGCATGGGGCATGAACTTAAGCGCACCCAGATAGCTACGCTTCTCGTTGCTGAACTTCTTTTGCGATACGTCGCCGATGTCTCTCACGATCTTCCGCAGATGCTCCGGGGGCATATCGGCCTTCTGGGTTTCGACGAATCCGCCCTTCCGTTTCTCGCCAAAGCGGTTCCGTTGCGTCCGCAGCCATTCGTTCTTCTTCTGGGCGAACTTTGCGACATTCGGATCGGCCGGCGGTTGATATCCTGGCGGTGGCGGAGCCAGAGGCATCGAGGGCGGCGCCGACGCACCCCAGCCGGGAGGCGGGGGAGGAGGCAGAGACGCCATGGTGAGTTGAGGGATACGGTTGGAGGTATGTCCCCTCTCTTTCCTAATCGGACGTTGATTGATGCTCGTACACGAGTCGCGTCAATGATCACGTCGAGAGATGGAAAAGGTCCTGGGATGATCGCGTGTTCATCGGTTTAGATGGGGAATGTTAGTCGTTATTGCGTGAGTATCAAACGCGTTAAGAGAAAAAAAAAAGGCAATGATGATAATGGGTAGTCAACCCCGGAAAGTAAGATAGAACCGCGCCTAGACGATCCCCTTCTCGCCACGGGTGATAGCAAAGCTCCTCACTTCTGGCACCTGGCCTTAGATGAAGCAAGTCTGAAAAGAGGTGGCGGCTCTGCTCGGGCCGGCGCTAGTCCGGGTTGGGGTTAGCGCAGTCTCGCCAAATCTGCGCTAGCGTGGCCGCCCAGGGCTCCGAGCGAAACCCACACAAATCCAGATTACCTGCGAGAATTCTACGAGGTTAACGACGACAACCCGACGACGCCGCCGCCAACTTCTTGACCACCCCAGCCTCGAGGTACGGACAGACAAAATGGCGAACAACAGATTGCAATACGTGAGTCAAATCGATATCTGGAAGGTAAATGGAAGCAGGATACTAATTTTTGATCTCTTCTGCAGCGCCGCCGGAACCCGTACGTTTGAAATTTCTTTTCCCAGCCCTCACAGAGTTCCCTCATCCCTTTTGGCTCCCACCAGCCTTTTTGGTTTCGATCGCTACGATGCAAATCACGAATGTGCTCGGTTTTGTTCTGCGATAGGAGACAATTCGCTGAAGAGCGGGGATTTTCGACTTCCATGCGATTTTCATGATGGACAAGAATATTGATGGATTTTTTTTCTCGTCTACAGGTACAACACGCGGTCCAACCAGGTTCGGATCATCAAGACCCCTGGCGGTGAGCTCCGTTACCTTCACATCAAAAAGAAGGGTACCGCTCCCAAGTGCGGTGACTGTGGCATCAAGCTCCCTGGTGTGAGTAGTCCCCAGTGATTCCTGTTCGAGCGGAAGTTTTGGGAAGTGGAAGGCAAAAACGACAATCACGATATCTTCGACAATATGTGGTGCGCGGGTGCGCTCGATCGACCGGGAAGAAGATTCGCCGACTTCGACAGAAAAAAAATCTCTTTCCTTAACGCCAGTTCGAAAACAAAAGAGACAGGAAGGGAGAAAGGCAGACAATGCAAGGAAATCCAGCAAAGCGCAGTTGGCTGATCGTGGCTCCGTCACCACTTCTAGGTCCCCGCCCTCCGCCCCCGCGAGTACGCTCAGATCTCCCGCCCCAAGAAGAACGTCAGCCGTGCCTACGGTGGTTCCCGCTGCGCTGGCTGCGTCAAGGACCGCATCGTCCGCGCTTTCCTGATTGAGGAGCAGAAGATCGTCAAGAAGGTCCTCAAGGAGTCCCAGGAGAAGGCCGCCGGCAAGCGCTAAATGCGTCCCTGACGGTTTTCTTTTGTGTTGTTGTCTTTAATCAAGGAGCGGAACATGGAAAATTTTTAAAATTAGCTGGGAACGGACGGCTAGCGCGGCAGAATAAAGGCCCGTGAATCAATGAATTATATTCATGAATTGAAAATTTTCCTCGCGTCCATGCTGATTTCCAAGAACTCACGAGTTGATTTCCCTTCGCGTGTCGACACTGTAGAAAGGATTCCATCCTGCGGCCCTGCCGGTGTAGCCGGGCTTGACACCTGAAAGCACATGTCTCCGTGACATTCGGGCCTCGTGGCAATCTAATACTCACCCTGCACCCTGCGAGTAAGAAGCACGTCTTGACGTGAAGTACGTACGCATCTAGCTTGTATTCCACCTCATTTCTCGACGACAAGCTTCAAAGGCTAGTTCAAGATCTAGGCCCTTGTCTTCACGTCGACAGGATTTAACGTTCTCGTTGGAGTGATCTCCTGTAATGGAAAAAGGTTCAACTGTCGCAAAGCCGCCCAAATGCAGCAGTCCAACGTGCCTTGGGAAGTTCATGCCATACTTGTGGCTTCCCCCATAACCGCAGGCTCAGGCTCAGGCTCAGGCTCAGGCTTCTATAGACACTTGCCGCAATAGGCGAGCCTTTGCGTCACTATCCAGCGAAGGAGGGCCAAGGCCCTTTTTTCCTGCAGGGTGAGAGAAACACGCCAAAAACAAGGGCCGGAGGGCTAGGCAAGAGCAGAAACCCAAAGTACTGAACGGTTCCGTTAAGTGTCAAGGATGACTGTTTCGGAAGCAGCAAAAAAAACAAAACAAAACAAGCCATACCTAGCAAGCATACAACAAGGCTGGAACCTCCAGAGCCTTGCTAGCAAGCATTGGTAGGAGGTGCGCGGCGCGTCTATGACCATACCTCCCACGATCTCCTTCCTACCTCCGCGGAGTCTTTCAGATCACCGCTGTAGGGGTAGGTAGGTAGTAGGTATATGAGGTATATTCAATGGCCGATCACAGCTAAGTAGGAAGCATGGATTGGTCCCACGGCTATTTCCCCAGGTCTTTGGTTGACCATAATATGAGTAGATGGCTTGCTTTGTGATACATGGAGTTCCTTTTGTCACTGATTTTTTCTAAAAGAAATTCTTTGCTTTTCCTGACACGTTAGTTCTCTTTTTTGCGCATTCTTTTATGGAGGGCTGACCCTGACGCTGCCCGCATACTGGCACCCACTTGGCAAACACAGCAACAGGCTAGGCAAACTTGATTCAATGATTGGGGAGAATGGGATTGTAGGAAATCCCTTTGATCATGTCCCATTGTCACATCTACCGGGCATAAACTAAAAGTCGAGTGTCGATTCTTTGTTCGTCGTCAGCTTTCGATCAATGCTCAAAGTTCCTCTATTTGACGCAATTAATTCCCAGCCATAGCACCCTCCCATCAAACACAGCGATACCTTTTCTGTCCATTGGATCGGCCCCCTTGTACATGTCGGCGCACTAGAGCAGGATGTTCTGCAGCTGACAGGCAACTGACAGGCGGGGGTTCCGTCTCGGTTCCTGTGGTGCTGTTCCTTTGCATCATGGACTCGCCCACAGCCGCTGGCCAATTCAGTGTCCAGGCGAGATGGAAGCTGTCAGCTAGCCTGCAGCCTGGGCAAGCGCTCCTCCTAGGCACTGTCAGTGATCTTGGTTCTAGAGAGGGACCTAGAACACTCCTCTATTTCGAGGCTGCATAAGCCCGAAAATATGGGCGCGTCAAGCGGCGGAAACGAAGGTAAAGAAATAGGTAGCCCCTGTCTAGCACAGCAGGGACTATGATTGGCGATACCGCCATTCTGAGAAGTCAGTGGTTATCTTCCTCGTCTTTGTAATCGTCAACACTCTCGTCTGTTGGATAACCGTAATCAAAATCCTGGATGACACTGGGGGACATCGCTGTCCATCCATGCATTTCCCTCACCTTTCGCCCACTTCCGGTGCTGTATGTTTCTGCAACCTTCCTATGCAGCGGTGAAAGAGCTGATGGAGATGTAGTCTCAGATCTTCAGAGCGATATCTAAGAAGGAAGGAGATAAGCACCTGGGCCACAAGCCAATCTCCCACCGCCACTTGACGGCGTCCATCCTTCGTCAAACCTGATGTTGCCCGGTTCAATTTTCTTTTTCGTCCCTCTGAGTCCATCAAAGAAGACGCAATTGTTGTATGATAGTCGGCGTGCATCGGCAAGCCAATTTCAAGATGCAGCGGTCATTGGTCGGATACGATAGCCTGCAGCGACTAGTGCTGGACGGACTGTCAGCATGTTGAGGATAGAATGAATACTGTACTTAGTACTCCGTCCTTAGTGACATTCTGTCCTGGCTAATAATTGTCGATTTACCGCCAACCAACTGGACATACGCCACCGATGTGGCTTCGACTAAATGCTTTGTGTTATTGCTAGCTTCCTTTGGTCAGAGACAAAGGAAACAGGGGGGTAGGGGGGGGAGGTGGGGCATGAAATTAGTGATGGGCAATGGGCAAGGAATCTTACCCTACGTAGTGTAGCAAGAAGAGGGGAGCGGAGACTAAATACTGAACTTACTGCTCATTGCATCTCCAGCATGTCGGAGATTGGACCGAGAAACATCCAAAGCGAAGAAGAAGAAGGCAACCAACCATTCCAAGCTAGCACGGGGTACATTGATGTACGGTTAGTAGTGTGCTGTGCTGACCCCATTTGCCGGCTACCGCCAGTGTGTGCTAAAGTGACAGTACATGCTTATCTTCCCACAAGTCCGATGCCACTGTCCAATTTCATCCAGAAGAAGAGCTGTACTAGTGAGCGGCGACAGGTGACCTGATGACACAGGATGAATCAAGCTGAAGCAGCATGACGAATGTTGAGAGCTGCCCAGATTGCTCTGCTCAAGAGAGACTGAGATGTCGTCCGGATCTGTATCACACCACCAGTGGATCGGCAATCTTATGAGATCAGAGTTGTGATATAGGACTCCACATTTCATCAACTCACAGATAACAGGAAAGGTAATCTTGCTGAATGAAAAGAATCAAGAAAGAGTGGGTAGATCGGCAAAGGGCCCGTGATCCGAATTCTTTCGCCACTGCTGTCTTGTCTTCTTGATCTTAACTTTTTACCTTTAGACTAAGACGTGCATCCGTGAGCGAAGGGTTCGCGGTTGGATGCATTCACATCGTTCGTGTCAAATCTTTGGGGGGGGCATGAATTGCCTTCGGTGTACTCAACGCCCTGTGGCTGGAGGGAAAGAACTACCGAGATTAATTGAGAGCGGGGAATGGTCAAGACGACCTTCAGCTACAGGACGTACTTTTTTTCCAGCCTGTCGGCTTCAAGAATATACCTTCACTCCCAATTCGAATAAGTCTGGGCCCCTCGTAGCTGAATGTTTAAGTATCAGTACGTTGTGCGGTAATAAGACGTTTAGGGCAAAAGTACTAATGGAGCACTCACGCTTCGTGAAAAGAAAAATCAAATACAGATACAAATACAAAGAAAGACAACCACCTCGCTCAGCCTAATTTTAGGAAGCGGGAGTTGAGACTTAGAAGCCTAGGGGTATGTACAGTATGTACAGTAACTTACTACTTACTGTACAGCATGGACGAAACGCCCTAGTTCGGCTACGGTCAGCTTAGCGTTGGTGTGCTACCCCAAGATCACCGCGCTATCCTAGAGATAGTAAAAGGTATTTTAGTCCCATCACAATAATCGGGGAAGTGGTGTAAAGACTCGCATCTTTTTACCAACATATCGGCACTCGGATGAGACAAAGACAAAGGAAGAAGGCCGAAATTCAGTCCAAGCAGCAGGCCTGATGTGTGTGTGTGTGTGTGTGTGTGTGTGTGTGTGTGTGTGTGTGTGTGTAGGTTGGTACATGTAGAGTGTAGACATCATGGATGACTCTATTTCCATAACTCGGCCAATCGAGCCATGGGCAACCCTTCTCGCTTTTTTGCAATTGCTGATTAGCCAGTCGGGACCATGGCGAAAGTCAACGTTGCCGATACCACCGTCTGCCCACTATGGTGGAGAGTGAAATGCTCAGACGAAATGATCGAACCTTACGATGGCTCCACTATCCGAGAGTCAGTAGAGCTAGTCTAGTCTAGTCAGTAATTTTTAGTCAGTACGTAGCATCTATATCCAGCGTGGTAGGCCCATCGCACCCTCCATACTGGTCGCAGCTCAACAGCTCGCTCCGAAGTCCTTGATCCTCCAAAGCCTCAAGGATCTTGGGCTTGTCCGAAAAGCAGGATGAAAGAAGATATCCATTCAACGTTGCTCTAACCAAATTGTTTGGGTGTACTCCACCTTGCCTGCGAAAAGATCTCGGAGCGAGCTGTCCCCCGACCATGGCATTTGGTGGCAGTAATCCTTGATGCCCCCGTACACTAATTTTGGCTAAGAAAAGTGGATAAGCAAGTGAAAAGTGTCAGGTTGGGCGTGTGAGTGCCTTAGGTACCCAAGGACGGATCTTTGACACATTGTCAAATCGAGATTAGATGCTGCCAGTCCGGCGAAAGCCGGTAAGCCAGATGCTGCTTGCCGTACCGTCCCGTGCTAGCTATATGAGCATCGACAATTTCTTGTAAGAAAGAAAGGCTGAAGTGGATATTATTGTTCCAGTTGATTGGCGAGGCAAGAAAGCCGCCCGGTGAAACCCAGATCGGACTATGGCAGCCGAGTACTGGACCTAACGCACGCGTCTCATAGCTCGTCTTTTCCCGCAGACGGCCTTGAAGCTATAGAAGCGACAGTTCTCGCGCATATCCGTTTGTAGAAGGTGGTGGGGACAGCGGACAAGGGCCGGGCAGATAGCGGTACCTAGGAGTCTGGAGTGAGAGGAGAATGGAAAGGGGAAATGAATTAGTACACTCAACACTACTACCACTACTAATACTACATCGTACTAAGTAGTAGCGCCATACCCTCTTGGGCATCCATGGAGAAGATTGACGTTGGAGGGGAGTGGGGAGGGGCGAAGAGAGAGTGAGAGAGAGACAGGGAGATAGGTACGGGGTATGAAGGAGAATGAGAATAACTGCTTCTCTTCCCCTTCCCCACTCCAGAATAGGTAAAAGGAAGGTGGTCTCAGGACTGGTCGAAACATGAGAAACAGAAGTCTTGTTCTAACAAAGGCCCGCGGGAGTTGCTCGCATTAGCCCAGCTCACTGATTAGTTAGACGAAAGCATCTAAATTAGTGAGAGTCACTAAAAAAAAATACCTATCGTTCCTACACAACATGCATACTTGCAGGAATGGATGCAATCAAAAGTAGGTTTG